GTTCACGGCGGCATTTTGGCAAACCGTGTTCCGTTCTCTCGGAACACGATTGAAGATGTCCACTTCTGACCATCCAGAAACAGATGGTCAGACGGAACGTGCGAACCGTGTCCTCGAAGAGATCCTTCGAGGATATGTCCACTCGTTTCCGAGTTGGAGCGAATTCCTACCCATGGTGGAATTCGCCATCAATAATTCGGTGCATGCTTCAACACAGCACACACCGTTTTACGTGAATGGCCTACGCCATCCACGAGTGCCCACCCTTATAGAGTGTGACTCTTGGATAAGGGGGGAGGGACTCGCTCGAGCAAAAACCGTTTTGGCTCTTGCTCATCACGTGTCGACGCAAACGTCGTCACGTATGATGCCGATGTCGATCAAGTCGACATCGATGAAGAAGATCATCTCAATAATAGCGACGACGCTATTATTGATTCGGATGATGATGACGATGCTGGTATATTCAGCATCGTCAACGATTATGCCAGCGAGGAAGAAGACAACCTCGCTGAAGAAGAGAGCAATCTCTTAGCAGTGCGCACGAAGCGCACTGCCAGACAAAACAAAGAGTCAGCAGAGAACTTCCTGCTGACTCGAAAAGCGGTAGTCCGTTTCGTTCAGGATTCCATCGCAAATGCGGTGGATCGTCAGAAACGGAACGCAGACAAGAATGGAAGAGCAAATGTTCTTTCATTTAAGGTTAACAACCCAGTACTACTGTCTACGGTAAACTTACCTGGACATGCAGTCACTAGTGTCGGCAGTAGTAAACTACTGCCGAAATACATTGGGCCATTTGGAGTGTTGCATCGCAAGGGCAATGCATACACACTCGAATTGCCACGTAGGATGCGCACGCATCCTACGTTTTACGTGGGGAGGCTTAGGTCGTACTGTCAGTACGAGCCTTCTTCTTCCGATGAAGATAGCCCCCACGTTCAAGAACATCCATCAAGTTCTTGCGTTCGCGCTCCAGACGATCCGTCTGGTCGCGCAGATATGATACCTCGGAACTCAACCGAGATATCTCCCCGCGAGCTGTCGCCAGCTCGCCGAATAGGGAGCGGACATCCCGCTCGACCTGAAGCTGCGCTGTGGCATAATCGGCGCGATCCCTCGCCCGATCAGCCTCGTGACCTTTGCGGTTCTTCCGCACGGTATCAGTCAAAGCGTAGCGCCGGTCGCGCTCGTGCTTCAAGTCATCGCGCAATTCATCGATTGCGCGATCCATCTCGTAAGGGTCGAGATGGTGAACCGAATCATCTGGAGGAGGTCTTTCCTCCTCCACCACATCATTTGGTGGATGCTCACGGTGATCAACGCTTTCTAGTGGAGCGTATCTTGAATCACCGTGACGATTCAGGATCAAGGACGAGCTACCTCGTCCAGTGGCGGGGGTATTCACCCTCTTGGAACAGCTGGGAGCCCCGCTCTCAGCTGTTGATGGATGTTGAAGGTCTCGTCCGCCAGTATGACGAGACCCATCCGATGAGTCCTGTGGCCCATCGGTAAACACGCGCCCTAGGCGCTTGTAGACGGATTGCAAGTTTGCAATCGCGTCACGCATCTCAGCCGAGATGTGTGCCCTTCCCCAGGGCGAATCTAGGGAGTACACATCCCTATGTGCACGCTGCGAGATGTCAACACAACTCGCACAAGGGTCTCCCCATGTGAGGCAAGGAATGCCTGCCTCACTCGATAAACAATGCAACCGTTACCTAGCACCGGTTGGCGTTCGCCTTTCGAACCTGAGGCGTGTCGCCTCAAGTTTCTTGAGCCACCCTTCTCGTCCAAAATTCTTTACGTTTTGGACGAACGCTTTCCACGCAGCCAAAAGCTATGTTTTGTCACGCTTTTGGTTGCTGTTGTACCATCGATGTCTAAGGAAGACATCGAGATAGAAATCTTCTTCAGCGCGAAAGTTCTTCGCGCTGGAACTCAAGCCGTGAAGCTCGGTTGCATCGAATAAGGGTATTCAATGGTGTTGGCCTGTCTCGTGAGACAGGCTATTGATGAGTTGTTCGGGCAAACGACACGGCTTCAACTCATCACGCTTCACAGTGGTACCCTTGTCGGTACCACGGCTCCCAGATTGACGACGGCTCGCGCCATCGTCATCACGCTCGTGCGAAGACGCACGAGCCGGCGGTGGTGAGGAATAGAACTCACCACCCTGATCATCGTCATCACTGCCGAACAGACTGTGATGCAAATCACGAGTCCGTTCGTTCGGCAGTGGTCTTGGCGAATACTGAGGCGTCGCCGGTGAGCGAGACGCCTCTGGAGCATTGCCCGAGTTAGACACGTCTGACTCGCCAGAGTAGATGACCTCTACATCAGGGTCATCGTGCGCACGCGGTGTGATACCGCGTGCACCTGCAGCACCTGTTGCTGCAGGCGAAGAAGGGGCGGCAGACGACGAAGCGTCTGCCGCAGAGGCTTTCACAGCACCGGGCTGTGTGGGTCTTGAGTCACCTCGCATAGACATGTTAACTTTGCGAGGTCGGGTGGAAAGTGAATGGAACGGACCCAACAAGTGCTCCCTGTCCCAATGGTGGCCAACGGGTGGCCTCCATATTTTCGATAGTCACACGGTGACTATCAGTTAAGGGGGGGGTGATGTAACGGGGCAGCCCGTTACATGAAATTGTCACTTTAAGGAAAGTGACAATAAAGAATATAAAGATGGATATTCTTTAAACAATATCACCAAAGTGGTGATATTGAAGGGTCGACCAAAGGGTCTGTTCATTGGTTGATATCGTGAAGATATCAACCCACCAATCGCCGCAAGACGCGCGCAATGAGTGGTGACGAGACGTCACCATACATGCAGTTATATTAGTATAGTTAAACTAAGTCAAACGAAGAGACAGTAGTTTAAGAACTTAATTCTATTAATATAACAGTTCTACTTTTACCCTACCTACGCTTCCTCGCTCGCCACGTGTACGTCCGTCGGGGCACCCAAAACCCTTGCGTTAAGTTACGCAAGGGTGTGCCCCGTTACACCTACGTCTAGCGACATCGCGAACAAACGAGAACCTGACTAGGACGGTTGCCGAGTACGCCGTAACGAAGTATCGGTCGCACCGATAATGTTGATGGATGTGAATGTTTTAGCTGCTGCCAAGTAGTGTTGTAAGTGAAAAATGTGGAGAAGAACCGAAAAAGAGTCTACGCGGGGATTTTGGGTGCGGCCAAACGTGGCTAGCCGCGCGCCAAAATTGACGGAATTCTCCGAACTTTCGGGTTCTATCACTTCGCGGAAAATTTGTCAAATCAACATCCGAGACTTTCGAAACGAGGCTAGTAGCATACGCCAATCATCCCTGGACTTAGATGTGTGTTCAAAGAAGTAGACGTGAGGAGGAGCTGAGTGACGAAGATCGGAATTTGCTAAAGGGTATTGACGGGCACAGTTTACACGTTCCGATGACTTACGCGAAGAGATTTGCGGTGCGCACACGAGGGAGAGGTCGGCGTGTCCTGTTTCATTGTCAGTCGTTGAACGACGGCTGACGACCCGAAACTGGGTCGCAACGCCAATTTCGTTGCGAGGCCAGCAGGAGCACGGGTTTGTCATCTTGCACGACACTCTGTGGATTTTGCCTGGCGCCTTTCGTTGACACTGCAGTAGACGCGCTCCTTGTACTGTTGTGTCGACATGCCAGTGTGTGTCCGCTCTGCTATCACTCCGAGTTGCCGCAGGTCTGTTTCCCAGTATTGCTGCAACGTCTGTTCAGGATAGTGACGTCCACTTCTAGGACAACAGTCCGACATTGTTAGACCCACAGGCAAGTGGTGCATTGGCAGCTCAATGCATGCACTACCCGTTCCGGTGGTAGTGTTGACTCGACGCGTTGCTGTTGAGTTGAGCTCTCGACATCCGCAGTGTACTACCACATCCTGCCTTCTGGATCCGGTAGAGACCGTGATAGCCTTAGACTGAGTACGACCTCGAACGTATCTTCCATGGCATATAACGACCTCTCGAGAGCTGACACCTGTATTTGGATTGCCGCTCGATTGCGAACCGAGCGGCGGAGCCTGTTGAGATGCTGAATATCCATCCGCAAGTACAAGATGTCGGGCAGTGGCATGTTCCACGTGTTTGACTTTGGCACGGCGGCTACGGGTGTTCTCTGGCTGTGCTACTTGACGACGATGTACCCGCAGCAGTACTTTGTGACCACGCGCGGCCGACGCTACCGTGTGACATGTTGCCAGAGAGTGTCCAAATCTGTACTCTTTCTTGAGGCGGCGTCGGATCTGGTGCGACTTGTACAAATCATCGGCTAACCTTGCGGCAGTCTCGCAGATCGACGGAAGCGCTGGCCAAGTGACCAGGAGACAAGTCGTTTCTCGCGCGTTTCGATAGGACGTCCAAAAACGCCAGCAACAAATTGTTCGAGCTGCCGTTGTCGTCCGTCGAGCAGCTACGTTTCGTATCTTTGTCGCTGCCACAATAGATCTGCTCAATACAGCGCGAAGTCTCCCACTCGCGTGGCATTCTTCGACCCGTTGGTCATGTTTCTCCGCGCGATAATCATGTCTTCATCAATATAGTCTGCTTGAATATACGTGAAAGCGACTTGCATTTCAGCGAGAGGTAGGTATACCAAAAGAAGTGCCACAGCGACACCCAACAGCTGGTGCTCCGAGTATAGCGTCATGAAAATCGGCATCATGTGCCGGGACAAGTTGTAGGCGTGCAACAAACTGTGCACGCTCATTCCATTCGTCATCTTTTCAGTCATGGCAACGTCTTGAACCGCGGGAGACACACCTGTTAATGTGCTTATTCTGCTCCTCCAATCCATCCAAGCGAGTGCACATACTTTCACACTGCCCAACATCCACGACAACAACAAGAGTCTACGGCGCACAAGGCCGAAAAACAGCAGCAGCAGTCCATCGAGATAAAAAGGGGACAATGCGGACGTTCAGCGCGTGGAAAGCGTATCACATAGTGCCAAATCCTCCGACTTCATTCATCACATCTCCTTCTTTGTCCATTCACCAAACATATGCTGGTAGTCTTCCAGTTGGCGCTGGAGAAGCAGGACACACGAATAAAGCCACAGATAAGAAGTTTAGTATCATGTCAGCAACAGCAGCAGCTTGCCACCCTCTGTCTCAACACTGCACAGGACATCCACAACATCAACAGCCTCAGCCCGCAACACAACGTCCTACTTTGAGCTGACTGTTCTCTTCCATGAGGCGAAGATAAGCACTAGCTTGGCTGTCTGTCTGGCGCTTGAGCGCTCTACCACCAACGCACCACCGTCAGTGTGTCTCCCAACAGCTACAACAACAACAACCACAACCAGCACGAGACCACCACATCACACTACACTCACTCCATCTCCTTGTCCCGTTGCTGCGCCTCTCCCAGCGCTCCCCGTAGACAGAGCTCCAGTCCACGGGCATAGGCGTCCGCTGCCTTCTTGTACAAGCCCAACCCATAGAGAGCTTTTCCCTTCCTCGAGTACGTCTTGGCCCAGTCCGCGTCGAGCGCAATGGCCTCCTCGGCGTCTCTCCGTGCGCGCTCAAAGTGCCCCAACGCGCAGTACGCGGCCGAGCGATTGCTGTATAGAGTGGCCGTGGGCTCGTTATCGATCCCTAACGAGTACTCGCGGATCGCTTCCTCGTAGTTTTTCGCCCGAAAGAAGTCGTTCCCGCGCTTCTTGTGCTGCGAGTCGTCGTCTCGAGACGGTGCGCTGCGGCCGTGAGCAGTGGATGCCGACAAGTGGGCGCTCGCAGTGGGCACAGCAGCCGAAGAGGCGCCGAACAACCAGTTCATCTCGACGGGCTCTGCTGCGAGGTGTCGGAAGTGCGACGGACGGGCGATAGATTACTTGCGGACTCTATCGAGGCGGGACGGTCGGCCCTTTTAGGGGACTCTATGCGCTGAGGAAGAAATGGGCACGGGCGACGCTTTTCTTTTGCCGGGTGGACAGACAGACAGACAGACGAGCGACTGTTGTGTAACGAGCTGCGATAGCGCGAGGTTTTCGTTGAGAGTGGTGCAGCACATTTCGATTGAAGAGGCCGAACGCTTTTTGCTTTGCTTGACGTCTCTGTTGTTGATGCATTAACGTCCGATGCTAAATAGAGAAGCTGATAGGGCTGACGGGACTGTATAACAACGAAGTGCCACTCTAATCCGTTTGCTGACACGCTGCCAATCGCAAGGGGGACAAACGTGCTTCCTCCATTACAGCTAAAGTGAAGAAACGCAGGTCAACTTTTCATTGCAAGTGAGTATTACGTAGACGTCCTGCCATCAGCTTCTCGTCAATAAAGCGCTTTGTAAGCATCCCGGTATCACTATCGACCCCTAAAGTTGTGGCGACCATAACGGCATGGAGCGAAAACGTGAGCGCGTGGCTGATGACGCGACCTCCAGCCCACCTCCTTGCAAGCGTCTAGAGATTGGCAACGAAGCGACACGCACTTCTGGCCGTACAAATATGATCGATGACGAGCTCTCGAGCATTGACGACTTATTGCAACAGGAAGAGACATCGCAGCGACGTGCGTGATACAGTGGTTTCTATCGCGATCGTTACGGTGCTTTATTTAGATGCCGCGTGTGGTGTTCGGTGTGTTTAGAAACGTGGCAAATCGGAAAGCGGGTGAAAAGGCTGTTAGAGCGTCATGAAGATGTACCCATTTCGAAACAGCTGGACGCCTATTTTCTGTGGGGTACCGCATTGGCTCGTCTGGCCTCGTTGAATGAAGACCCGACGTTAGCTGATGCGGCGGCGGACAAGTTCCAGCAGATCTTGCAGATCAGTGGAGACGGAGCGGAGAGTGAAGATGCCGTTGATGCCGCTCTGGGTCCGGTGGGGTATTCGCTTTGGGGCTCGTCGCTGCTGATTGTCGCAACCGAGACGCAGAGTCGACAGGTGCTGGACCAGGCACTGACGAAATTCCAGAGAGCAGTGGAAGTGGATGGAGGAACGACGTTTGAGACGAGGTTTCAATATGCAAAGGCGCTCAAGGAGGGAGGAGATCTGGTGGCGTTCTTGGAGGAAGACAAAGGTGCAGCAGGTGCGAACACGAACGACTACTACGATAGGGCCTTACAGGTGTGCAAGAAGCTGGAGGATATCTATCAAGTCGAGTCAAAAGCGCAGGAGAACGATGTCAAAGAGACAAAACTGACGGACATTGAGGACGGGTGCAATGGTGAAGGACAGAACGGCGGCGACGACGACGACGACGACAAGGTGACGGTGGAAGACTTTGCTGAAGTGAAGTTGCTTGAGGCTGTGCTGCAAGGTGTACTTGAAGATCCGAGCAGCGTGAATAGCTTTTATCGTACTGTTGCACTCTACCAGGAAGCTATTGGTGAGTCTTTTGAAGGTTGAAGGTGTGAAATCGGTTTGTCTGACATGTAAAATGTGTTTGGAAGCACTGAATCCTGGCAATGCCAAAGCCTTGATGGAGGCAACGGATTACTTAGCTGCGAGGTGCCTGGCGAGCGCTAATTTCGATACGATGCCGTCAGCTGGTGAGTGGGCCAAGCTGTTTGGTGACCTGGAAGTGCAGTACAAACGCTTGTTGGCCGACGTCGGCTTCGATCTGCAAGAGTGTCACGAAATCTGTCATCGTAAGGACACTCATGATCAGAACGAGCCAGAAGAGAAGGAGATCGATGAAGAAGTGCCTTATTTGCTCAACGCCCTCGGAAAGGGCCTGGCTGCGTTCGCGCGGTCTTTTCCACAGTTCGATGGTGATACAGCTCGAGGAAAGAAGAGACAGAAGCAAAAGTCGCGGAAGGCAAATGGAAATGCGCGTTTCACACACGCGGTTGAGGTGCTCCGCTCCGCGCATCACTTTCATGACAAGCTTGGATGTTATTACTTGGCGTGTTTGTATGCATCGCCGGCTTTCGAAGACGAAGGGGTGAGCTTGGATCATTAGCTCTGGTTGTTGCGTCAACAATTGACGGTGTTTGTTATTTGCGTGCAGGAATGTCGTGTCTGGCTCGAAACTGCGGACAGCTACGGCGCGCTGGAGGACGAGTTTGACGTCCAAGCATTTGCAACGATGCACGGGAAAGCCTGGTTCAAGCACTTGGCTCAGCCACCCGCGCTAGTGACGGAAATCGATGGTAAAGAGCGAGAAAGTAGCGAAGAGGATGACGGATAGCTGTCGCTCGTGATCGTGATCGTCGATATGATAGAGAAAGCATGCATGATGTTAGGTGTCATGGTCTTGACTTCGAACAGCATATTGGGTTTGCCAAGCTTTGCTCGATCATGCCAAATCACTACCGTCACCGTCGCAAAGCATACGCAGCTACAACACTGTGCTCATATTGTTTAGTAAACAGTCCATTATGTGGCTGTACAGACAGGTGAACTCGAGGGATCGATCTCAGTCCGTAGAACCCATGCGCACAGTTGGATCAACTGTCATACAACCAGGTTGATCATTACGATGCAGCTACAATTGCGATACATGTGTTCACCTCTACGGATGTAACTGAAAGCATGCATGATCATCACAGCGTGCTCGGCGACAGCTTTCTCTCGCTCAACAGCGCGTCGCTGTAAAATTGCGATAAACCTTTGGCAAATCGAACACGATCCAAAGTCGAGTTTGCGTTTCACCGGTGCGATGAAATTTCGGATCTACGAATAGGGATCGACGCAAAGATGCTTGCACATCATATAATTGCTGCTATACAAAGCAACCATCCCGCTTCGTGCATAGGCATGAGTGTACTGTATCGTCCGCCTCAAGAGCTTCCGCGAGACTATGCATAGTGGCATTTGAGGGGCCCAATCACAGCCCAAAGGTTCCAGAACTTATGCCGCATAGTTGGCGCTATGGAAAGCGATGCGATAGTCATACGTAGCGTGGATTGCTTTGATCTCATAAATTCTTACAAACGTCGCATCGATATTCAACCTTACTACGTCGACACGATTCCATCAACATTACAAGCTCAAGCAGTTATTTCTAGCCAACAATCACCAATCAGCACACAAATTTGAATGGACTACAAGTGTCCACTGCGTGGACCGCAGACCTATGTGATACGAGCCGTAATATAGTCGCGAGCTGCATCGTCGTCACTTCGGTCGTGAGCGCTTCAAAGAAGTGCGATAATAAAGATATAGACCTAACTTTTTTGCAGCAACACGACGCAGAGATGTGTCAAAGGTTGATTGTTGTGTACTGCGCAATTATCTTGCCTACTGTTTTGTATGAGGAGACACTTGTTTGTACGCTACCTACCTAGTACATGCCTACCCAGTACATGCTAGGCACTTGATAGCATGTCCGCGAGGCAGTCTATGGTTGCAAGATTACGAAGACTGGAGCTGCATAGTATGATCAGCGATGTCATGACATCGAGAAGTAGTAATGACCGATAAATTTCTCGAAAGAATGATAGATCGGATGGTCAGTTGCAATACTACACGCTATCTGGAGTGAGTGAGCGAGAAGGTGGGTTAAATTCAAGTACACAAACAACCCACTGTGTCATGTCTGACGGCAAATCAGATCAACGTGCAGACTTCAGCTAATAAGCTTATGTACCATAGGAACCTCGTACATCTGATCTGCGCTGCGCTGCGGAGTTGTTGTCACGTAATGGCGCGGCCTTCTCCAGTCATAGCGGGTCACCTAGATCGTCCTCTTTGTGCATTGAAGTCTCTGGCCAGTAATTGACTTTGTTCCCGAGGGAGGCCGCGCTCTGCGTGACACTACTGCTTTCCGACTGTGTGTCGCCGATACAGAAGAGCAGGTGGCCATTGCAATATTGGACACGCGATTCGCCATCTTGCTGTAGTTACGGTGCTAATGACCTCAGCTGACGACATCGGTAGCGCCGACAACCGCCCGTGGATCCTCATACAGTAGCGCCAAAATATGCTTGCGTATAGGACGATAGGTTCGGATCCGGGAGAGCACAAGACAGCTTTCTCCGTCTGTATGGAGCGTAGAGTGACCCCTTGACTTCATCTGGTGACGACCATGCTCAAGGCTTCGATATTAATTATTGTGCTGGTAGTAGATGCGGGTCTGCATGTTATACTCGCCACCCACATGGTATCAGCTGATTGTGTCGGGATATGAACCTTGGCAATGCCGGATTCGGATCCTTCCGGCCCAGAAATTTCTCGAGATCCACCGTCGAAGAGAAACGGGTAGGATAAGCTGGATCGGTCGTACTTTTGCAGCGAGATCAGTGGAATAGGAGTATCGTTTGGAATTAAGGTGTGCTCAAAAGCCGATCACGGATGTGCAAATTTAGCCTTTCTACTCTAGCGTCGGGCTGGAAAGTCGAAATACGGCAGGAAGTGAACGCTTGGCTATAAAAGTTCGTACTCTGTCGGTGCAAGTCTCGTTCGTCACTGTAGAAGTCTTTGTGTAAGATTAGTTTGTGGTTTGGAGGTGTAAGTCTCGTTCGATACTGTAGAAGTGTTCGCGCAAGTTCAGTCTGTGCTCCAGCGGTGTAAGTCTCATTCGATACTGTAGAGTTGTCCGTGCGGTAAAGTCAATCGATCCAGATAGCATGATCGTATTTGCAGCAACAAAGCTTCACAGCTCGCACACAGCAGAATATAGTAATTCTTATTTTAGATTGACTAACAGTCGTTCAACGGACGGTTTGAATCGCGTGTCAAGCCGCCCGTGGTGCTCGAGAAGCTCTATTGCAAAGACCTAATGTGTCGGCTTGTCTTCTCAAAATCAATGGAACACTGCAATGTAGTAGTCATAAGATGATTATAGTGCATTGTGCACCAGGGCGGCCCCTAAAGACACGACCTATCGACAAAGATTTAACACGGTCGCACTTTAATTGGGGGCACGACAGGTCGTGCGCCGCCCAATTCTGTAACGGAAACATTTTGCTTCTAAGCCGATATATCGTCTGTAACGGAGTTACACATCGGTCGGTGACCGACACAGCATGTGTGGTTTGCACCACGGATAAGATTTCAGTAAAAATGATATCATAACCTCTTATCAGTTGTTGGTGCTGACGTGTGTCAGCCACCAAATACTAGATCCTTAAAATGTACTAATTAGAGCATTTGTGTCTAGATTAAGTACGCCTAGGCCAAGGTGTCCTTTTATGTAAAAACAAAATAAAGTTCGGCTCCCCTTTTGATCTGTAAGAGACACGTGCCTTCTTAAGTCCAATCTGATCGTTAGAAAGTCAAAGTCATGTCAAGACACAGACTCGTTAGCACACTGTGCGGTCTATTCACTGAAACGTTCAAGTCTCTTGAACAAGGACCTGAAGCTGTAAGCTCGTTGACTCGTAGAGTCGAGTTCGCGTAAAGAACTAGCTTGTCCACTGAGCACACAAAGCCTTCCTCTGGATAGGATCTGTGCTAGCTCCGCTACAGCTTCTGCGCGCGGGTAGGAAAAAGTCTCTCGTATCCGCCAGATTTCTCCTCATCCTAACAGATCTGTACCGGTGGATAATACTCGAAAGCCCGGCCTTGTCACTCTATTGTCGCGTTTTTGTTAACAACGTTTGCACATATACGACGTAAAATCAGATTTTTTGGCCGTGTCCCTTGTGGCCGACATCGTCTGTAGACCGCGTATAGTTGATCGAAGAGATCTGGTCAAGTGCCGAACTGAAAGAATGGAGAATTATTATGGATGACATTGCGGTCGCATGCAAGCATCGAATAAATAGCTGTTGAAACGCATCGCATACCCCTTGAAAGTGAGAGACCTGGGACCACATGTGGTGAGAAGATGGATATAATGTTGGTGCTCCGCTGTCAAGTAAGCGATTAAGTTCTCTGATTCAATCGGTCAATTTGAGAATGACGGATAACGTACACGAGATAGAAGCAGAAAACCCGAAGTATCGGCGCTTGCGAAGTGACTGTATTGTAATATTGTGCATAGATGAGAAGCGAATTACACCATTCTGAATTGTATTCCTAGCCAGACCATCACCAAATGACTTTCTACCTATCCACAACCGGCCTCTTTCAGGTCATTGTCCCTGAGAACATTGAGCCACAAAATCCTTCATCGTTGCGGGTATAAGACACGTAACGTTATACCAGTCCAATACGACAAAATTTGCTTCCGTATCTTTGCTCATACCGTCATCGATATCGACTGAATATCGATCGTGACACTGCCGCCATCTTTGTAGACACTACCTGTTTTCGAGTCAAGTCGTAAAGCTCTACGTCGAAGTACCGTTACGTCTGCTTGGTGTACATGATGCGTCGCCGATAATCCGACCGATCAGCTCCTGTCAGCCGTAGAGACGCCTTTACCCGTGGATGCTCGCCATCTGTCCATCACGGCGTAACGTACGACGAACCCACTGTCGGGGCTCCTCGAGGACGTTATTGACGCATAAATGGTGTCTGGAACGCGTTACCGCGCACATTTTATTGATCGCTGTTGTCGCCATTTCCATTACAACTATACGGATGCATTAAAAGTCCAGACCGACTCATAGAATCGCGAGCACTGCCGTATTGGTAAGTACCCACGAGCTGGACAATTTTACGTCACGGGTTTTTCTTCCGAATAATCGATAATATGTGAAGCCGTGACATTGTGTCTGGACGAAATCATGAATGACATGTCAAACATATAAAGTTGGCTATTGCAATCGCACTTGATCGGAGAACTCGCTATTCTTCCATTTGAGACTTTCCTCTGCTTGATTGAGTCGACACCATAAGGTCCGGATACACTTCCAGATATGCTACCTAGTACGCTGACGCATCATCTTGGCACAAAGAAGGGTATTAACAACTTACGCGCACCGCCGAAGTCAGTGATTTGCACTTTGCTGCAATTCTATCGATTAGGAGGCACGGCGCACACTTACAAAGGACCCCCATATCGGGGACCACCGAGGAGACGGGATTGAATAGCTGAGGAGGTAAGGTCCCTCCCATGCGCCCCGTAGTCGATGAGGATGGGCACGCGACAGGGGTTCCGGGCCTCGTATTTAAGGCTTCAGCTGGGTGAATTACGTACGCGGCTGCAGTCATCGGCACGGACGCATTTCTCCGACCAAATTCCACCGGTTTTGGCCGACCGAACTCCGACGAACTTCACCGACCTGACACAGTCGAAGTTTCCGACCTGACAGTGACGACTTTCACCGAGCTAATTCAGATAATTTGACTAGGCCGGTT